TTTTATTTCTGTAACAGCAAAAGGATAGACTTTTATGAGAAAAAATTAGCCAAGAAAATGACATAAGACTAAGATTTTGATAGAAAAATGTAAATATAGATCATTTTAGTAATTTCTTTTAGTTTTATAAATAACCAACTTAATAATTATGAAAATAATAAATTAGCTACATGTTCAATATCTAAAATGTGACATAGTACCCTACATGTATGTAAGAATTAACACATTAGAAAAATTGAGCATTGTATTGTTCTTCCTGAAAAATGTTTAAATGGTTAAAATTTATTAAAGAAAGGATGGTTCAGTTTCACACTACAATGTCAGCAATTACATTGGTTGGTTGCAAATGTCAACCAACACAGTGCATGTATCGCAAACCAAGGCGTGCATTCTGCCAGCAAAGGAAGTATAAAAAAATACATTATAAAATACATATATGCACAACAGTCTATCACAAACAGTGTTCATGATTTTAGTTTTCTAAATTCATCCTCAAATAGAGATCTACAGATTAATTCAAATTCAAAAGTGACATATTACACACTTGGTTACCTACTTAAGCTTCAGTATTTCACCTACATGTAATGAAGGAATGGAGCGGAGGAATAGAGGATTGCAAATATTTGTCACCACCATTTATGGTGGTCTTTTTGACCACCTGTTTCAGGATTTCTGTCACAAAGCCACGGCCACCATAAGCATCGCAGAGCCGTACGAGTCTTTCTGAAATCGAATGTGCCGCCATTTCCACAGGTCGTGCCGTGACTGTCCCCAATCCCCAGCTCTGCCTGTGCTTCCGATCGCCTCGTGCGGTAAGATTCGCTGTGACAGGGAGTGAAAGATGTCACCTTCCCTGGACAGAGCATGTCCTGCCCTAGGATCCACGCATACCCTGATTCAGGGCAGAAGCAGAGAGAACTGGCCAGACCGACCCAGGGACGTATCTTGGAGCTTAAAGCCACGTGTGAGTAGGAGAGAAAGTGGGATCCCGGATGCAGAGAGCAGCATGCACGCTGACACCCCACTGTATGGCATCTCGGTTCACACTTCCCAGTCACAGAGACGCCCGTGACTCGGCCTGATAAGCTGAACTAATTTCAGCCAGAGTTATAGAAAGGGGCGCGATTATCTCTCTTCCCATCTCTCTAAGCCTTTCTTCCAAGACAGGATTCTGCGCTTCCGTCTGTCTCTGCTCCAGGTGCCACTTCTGTTCTCACAGGGACCCGTTCCTACAACTGCCCTACTTTCTGTGACAGCTTACCCTCCGGGGGTCTCAGACTGTAGGGAGCGTCTGCGTGTGACTCTCACACTGGGGAGGTTAGAAACTAATCTGAGACAAGATCCTAAGGTATATTTGCACGGGATTATTTCTGGGTGGCATCTGATGGCCAACTATGTATTTGACATTTCTGGCATTTTACAATAATTGCCTTCCATTAAATAAAACGGTTCAAGTGCCAAATTCCCCTGTATGACATACAATTTCACATAAAATCCACTAGTTTTTACAGAATTTACAGATATCAAATAAGAATCATAGAACTTTAGAACTTCAATGATGGTTTTTGAGATAACTAGATAAAGGATCGGGTTTATAGAGGTGAAAAGAGGTGCACAGAGCTGCTCAGTAAAGCAACCGTTATAAAGCAGCAGCATTTTAACATGAACTGAGGGTTAAGCCTAGAGAACAGTGCAGGTCACAAATGAAGTCATGAATGAGATCAACTCTGCTGTTTAGTTTTGCCATTAAAAAAATGTGCCCCTCCGGTATAAAATCGGCATTTAAAAATGGTTATTGATTATCTTCAGTTGCGTGACCACCTTGTAGAAAAGGCAGGATTTGGGAAGTGTTGAGGTTATGTGTTTTCAAGGGAAGAGGGAGCAGAAGGAAAACTGTTGAGAATGGGACAGTCTGACATTTTAATGAGAGCCAATTTGAGATGAAAAGATTCTAAATGTTAGAGGCAAAGCAGGAGAAATCTAATATTGGTGGACTTGGCCACTGGATTTGTGTTCCCAGAAATGGTGTAATATTTCACAAAAATGATGGCATATGCAGAGAAAGGATTTGTAAATAAAAGGAGCTTTATGGGGAGGGGGTGGAGAATAGTTGTCATGGATTTATTATTATATATAACCAAAATACATTTTAGTGAGCATAAGTAGGTCCCATTACAAACCTTTGAACCTGTTTTTTATAATTTAGAGATCCAGATTTATCAAGTGTTATAGGCATAAATTTTCCATTAAAATTCTTTTGCTTTGCACTTCCAGTTTCAACTAGGAGATGTAGAGAAAGGAAAAGTATCACTCCCACCCTTACAAGAATAAATGCTGGAAAAGCTGCAGATTAACACTTCTCCTTCAACCCATCAGAGAAATGAGTATATTTGGACTTTTGATTTAATTCACCATCAATGCTAAAAACCTCGAGTTTATATTTGAGATATGAGTGGTAGAGAGAAAATTACAGATCTATGTGTAGATGACTTCCCTACTCTCATTATTAGAATATAATATACAGTTAATTGAGTGTTTCAACATTTAGAACAGTGGCGGGTAATGTTACCTATTATTAGTTTTGTCATTGTTATTACCATTATCATCTATGCCATTGCCCTTTCTGATCTTTAACAAAAATAACTCAGCAGACGAGTTTTAGTTTTCCTTTAAGCTATCCAACCTTGAACTACTTAAATTTCAGGCACTAAGTGATTTAATATGAGCAAGTAGTAAAGCACCATTGAACTCTTCAAGAATTGAATTCCACAGCACTCAAGCATCAACGTGGACCTGCTTAAACTGGTAGCTTTCAGTCGGTCTCTCTTGCGCTCCTGCCTGGTGACCTTTGAGAGGACAGTGATCTTTAAGTCACCGTGTTCTGCCTCATGTTCTGCTTTGCGTTTAGCACATAACATCTTCTAAAACAATCGCCACCCATGAATGTCAGTGGAGCTGTGCTATTGTCTTTCATATACTCGGTTTGTGTCATATAAGACACAAAATGTTCCTAAAGAGAGTTTGGACATTTCACTGAAGCCCGAGAGCTGTCCGTGTTAAAGCAAGTGAAGCCGTATCTCCAACATGTTTCCAGGAAGCTAAGCATCAGCATAAACTATGGAGCAGGCTTTGGGAAATGCCTTGAAGGCATTGTTGAAACAATTTACATTGATTTGTTTATAAGGAAGATAATTTCTCCAGACATAATGCATAATATTTCCAGTTGCAATCTTGGGAACGAATTAGTCTGAAATTATTCCTGTACAGAGATGTTGCAAATGTTGGAGGGAGTACAAAGGACAGTCAGTTATAAAAGGGCTTTTGAAAGATTCCCTCAGATACTAATCTCAGGAAGACAGTGATTCTTTAACAGAATACACAGCAATAAACAACAAAATGCAGGGCCTCTGTGCCATCAGTTTCTTGAACAGCATATATTTAAATCTCCTTGTTTTAAGGTTCCATTTCAAATACCTACATTTATAATCATCAATAAGGTTTTGAATCTATTATGTGTTTTCTCTCAGCTCATTCTTTCATATTATAAAGAAACATAAAGAAGAAACTAATTTATGGCAGTATAATCTTAAAGAAGAGCTTTGGGAACAATAAAATAAATATATAAAATAGTTTAATATTCTGATCTGCTTTATCTGATTCTGAATCATAAAAGAAAGTAATGTTCTCCATTTGAATTGAAAAGGATCTCCAGAGATATCTGATCGCATGGCTTTGTTTTAGTGAACAGAAAGATTAGAAACTAAGAATTGTGCGCTTAGCTCACGGATGACGACAGGGATATGGCACTATACTTCACCCATTAATTAAGCCAGCATTTATATTAACCTGATCTTTGAAAAGTGCTGGGGAAAGTAAGAAAGGATGAGGGAATAAAATCTGTCTTCACAAAATTTACTACATGATTTGTGTATTTGATTAAACTCATTTTACACATATGAGTGAAATGACAAAGCAGCACGAAAAATGCAAAAAATGATAAAAAAAAAAAAACTTCAATGAAAAAATACTTGTCACCAATCATCAGGGAAATTCAAGTTGGAAACACAATGAGATGTCATTTTACCCCTGTTAGAATGGCTTTTACTAAAAATTCCCCAAACCATGGGTGCTGCTGTGGCTGCAGAGAGAAGAGAACACTGTCGATGGGACTGAACGTTAGTGCAACCTCTGTGGAAAGGAGCTCGGAGAGTCCTCAAAGAACTGAAAGTAGACTCACCCTTCGATCCAGCAACCCCACTAATTGGCATCTACCCAAAGGAAAGGAAGCCATTTTATCAAAAAGACACCTGCACTCAAATTTTTATTACAGCACAATTCACATTTGCAAAGATCTGGAATCAAATCAAGCACCCATCGATTCATGAGTAGATTATCAAAATGTACTATATGTAGGAGCACTACTCAGCCATATAAAAGGAGGAGTTATTTCCTTTTGCAACAATTTGGATGGAACTGGAGACCATTATCCTAAGTGAAGTATCTATAGAATAGAAAAACAAACACCACATGTACTCTGTAATAAATTGGAACTAACCAAGGGGCACACATGTGTACAAATAGAAGTAAAAAGTTATTAGAAATCAAGAAGGAGAGGGGGAAGTAGGGAGACAGGGAGTGAGGGGCAAAAACCTACCTAACGGGTACAATGAACACTATTTGGGTGATAGGCACACCTATAGCCTTGACTTAAGCATTACAAAAATGATCCGTGTAACAAAAACATTTGTACCCCTTAATATTTTGCAATAAATAAATAAATAAAATAAATTAATACAATAGATGTGCATTCTATTAATAGGTAGAAGGCATTTCATGAACATCAGTCATTGGCTTTTGCTAACAATAATCTTGAAGGTTATATTTTATTATTCAAAATTTGTAACGAAATCTTCTTTTAAAAATCCACACTGCAAGAATTTAATTCCTTGTTTTTGTCAAAATACTCAGCCTCCTTATTTTATTGTTGCATTTTTTTGTAGGTATGAATCCAGGATTTTGGAAGGCTGACACTTTTATAACTTTTGGAGACCACTTTAAGAAAAAGAATGCAAGCATTATAAATGCTAGGTAGGCATTTGTTTAAATATTTTTAGAATAAGAAATCACACTTATTCCTTATGTTTGAAAGATGCAAAAATCATAAAAATAACAAAAAATAATTAAACATTATAAATTAACCAACTGACGGATCAACAATCCTTCCTTTGTAGTTGTAGTCCACACAGGAATTCTGAAATATTTGTAACCTCATCCTCTCAAAAAAGGCATATTTATGAGAAGTTAATTTTAATATTATAATTTCATAGAACTAATGAATAGAAAAATGGCTTTGACTAGTTTCTAGGTTTGTAGGTCTCCGGCCATGTTTTCCTCCACCATGTGCATATGTCGGGGACCAGGTACCACAGGACTGATGTGAATCACAGCACAGCCTCTGGCTGGGAACTGTCATGTCATGACACAAAGTAAGCAAGGGGGAGGTAGGAGCCTCCGGAAAGCCATTCTTATACTGGAATGTCTAGCAGTCGCTTTTGCACACACAGGAGTATGCCATTTATTACGCTATTGCCTCTCAGTTCCAACATAAACCTTCATCGCCTATTCTGTAACAATGGATCAGGGCCCTTTACATATGGTTTCTCTGCCAACTGGCATGATGTTAAGGTTTTTTAAGCAAGGACTGCAAGTGACATTGCAAAAGGGGACGGATTTTAGTTCTTGATTTCAGAGGTTATGCTTTTGCTTTTGTTTTGCTTTTGCTTTTTTATTTACACTTATCTTTCCTACATGCGGGGCCTGGTGACTAATAATCTAATGTAACCCTTCCAATAAGAACACCACATACTCTGGATTTTTACAACAGTTCTGATTCCTATACACATAAACACCAGCTGCAAATTGCCTGTGCCCTGAGTGGTTGCTTTCTGCCTGCCTGTGAATCTGCTCTGGCATTAACAGCCCAGAGGAATTCTCTACCATCCAATGAGCTGCAACCACATATTCTTCAAAAATGTCTCAACCTAACTTGAGGAGGGGTCTTCCCTTCCTGGTCTGTCCTTCCTTGGGTGATCTCACTCAGCCCCAAACACTGTTGGATTACTGTTAACATTTTCTTACTTACTCTCTCGTTGCATAGCTTACTATTTTTTATAGTAAACTTTCCCCTTTAAACTATAGTGTGGATCTTGTATTTTGATTGGACCCAGACTCATACATCAAAATGATTAGAAAACATACAAGTATATCCCACTACATCCAAACAAAATATATTCCCCAAACTAATTTCCTTTTAGTTTAGACTCAAAAATGGCTATGACCATTAAATTACCACTCAACAAGTTGAAAAGCATGAAGTCAATTCATAGTTGAAAGAAACAGTTTTAATTAGTAAAATTAATTCTCTCACTCTATATATAGCTGGATTGATCGATATACATAGATGTGTCTCTCTATATACACATATTTATGCATGTGCATATTTATATATGTGCCTAGATATTTATGTATACATACCCATACCTCGGCCTTGGAAAGGGACCACACAAGTTAGCTTAATGAAAAAGTCTTCTCAGCTCTGAGCAGTCTAGTCTCTCTTTAGATAATCATTTTCCAGTACAAACTCTATTCCAGGCTTGGCAAACTACATCAAGCAGTATGAATCCAGTTTGCCATGTGCTCTTGTAAATAAGGTTTTATTAAAACACACCTTTACCTATTTTTTAAGTATTTTTCATACTTCTTTCATGCTGTAATAGCATGGTCGAGTAGTTACAACAGAGATCATATGAATCACAAAACTAAATATTTACTACTTTGTTTTCACTGACAAAGTTTGCTGATGCCTGCTCTATATTATTAAAGGGCATTGGAATTTTAATAGACAGCCATTTATGTTGCACACACAAAAAAATGGGAGCCCTTAGAAGTTAGCGGTTAGGCTGTGCTCTGAGAACTGAAGAACAGCTCTGTGTATTTCTACGCAAACTCAAGCAACTGATCGCCCCTGTTTTCCTGGCCACTCGGGTACCTTTAGATTTTACACTTAATTTCTCTACTATGCTGTGAATTATTGTTAATGTCAGAAGTCTGAACAGTGAATTACATGCTACCTTGTAAAAGTGCTTTAAAAAGACAAAGAGCGAAAATACACTTACGGGAACTCTGTAGTGGGAGCAAAGAGGAAATAGACTCAAGCACCACTGCAGATAAGAAAAAGCTATTATCAAAGCAGAGAGGCTGGGATTTGGAACTCATATTGGAAGCATATTGGAGAAGAGGAGTAGAAATTTAAGATAAGACTGGAAAAATAGATTAGTCAGGCACTTATAAGACTTCAGTCTACAATTTCTCTCCTTTCAAATAAGACTAGAATATATAAAGGACAATATTAAGGAAGGCTTATGAAAGGATTGGGGCATAATATAAAGGCCACTTGTTTAGTGAGATTGGCAGGATCTCTTCACTTCAAAAGACTATGATGCCCAGCTATGCAACAAGATAATTCCAAAATAAATGAGAATCTCTCTAAGTAAAATGTAAATGAATACATAAGCTAAAATCAAATTTGGTCTTACTTTGTTTTAAGAACAGTATGATAGAAATAAATCTGAGATGCCAACTGCTCCCCTTAACGAGAAAAATAATAAAAATCTGAAGTGAAAAAGGCATGTAGATTTCTCTAAAAATTAAAATAAGGATGTTAATTATTTGACATTATTTACATTCTTAATTTTGTCATGGAGAAATATTTAAATATATACTCAAATAAATATTTAGGATTCATCCTATCATTAGCCGTTAATTTAAATATAATCAGATTTAAAGTAAAGTTTCCTTACAGCAGATACATGGGGAAGACAGACGTACTTAATTTAGCACTGGAACGTCTGACTGTGGAGTCCGGCTGCAGGAGCAGCAGTCTTCATGCTCCATGACTGTGCATGTCCTGATTTGTACACTGAACCTGTTGGCCATAAAACACTATTCCCCGCATCAAGAAAGAGAAGTTGCCTGAGCTGTGTTTGAAATATAATAGGAAAATAACTATTAGTTAGCATGTTACTTTGAATAAAAAATATTAAATCACTAAGAGTATAGCAGGCATTGCATTTTGTATGAATAACCTTTTAGATGGTATAAGTTTGTTTTAAACAAGCTGTCCACTAAAGTAACTGGATTCTACAGTTCACGAAAGTTTTGTGCGTTGCAGACATGTTTCATTACGGACATGTGAGTAACCATGACAACATTGGTATCCAGGAGTTACCGCCAATCCCACAATAAGACTTATTGGAAATCAGCTTATTCAACCTACTCAGAGTGTAAAATAAACATCTGCCCCAGGGGAAGAAGAGGTGCATTTATTCTGACCCTTCTCAGAACTGTCATATGGTGCCATTCTGTCGATTGTCTAATGGAGGAGATATCCAGATATCCCACCTTGGGGAGTCAGTGACAGGTGCTCTGGAGAGAGCCAGACAAGACATGTGTTTGGCTTTGCCAGCCAAGAAACAAAGGTGACAATGTTATGTAGATGCTTACGTTGCTGGAGATAAAACGATTCCCCACAAATTTCTACTGATGAAATTCAAAATATAACAATAACTGAGTATGATTTTTTTGTCATACAGGTCTGCTTCTGAGGAATGAAATTTTGGAGTGGAAGATGACATTCCACCTGTTTAGGATGTATGATAGCATTTTCTTTTATCAAAATCTATTGCAAAGTTCATCTGTTAATGACAATTTGTGATATTTTATATATGTGTCATCTTAAAAATGTCTCTTCACATAAATCCTGCCCAATACTGATTCCAAACCTGAAGCAAATTCTTTTAATTAAACATATTCATCTCCTGAATGCATTTACAGAATCCCATTAGATTTTGTTCTCGATATTTGCTTTTAAGCACACCATTATATTGTGTGTTATCACTTCCAGTTGACAGTTGGGTGGAAGCTTCTCAATGACATAATTAAAACGGATTTGGAAATACGGAAATTCCCTTTGTATTTACGTCAAGGTATGACGCTGCTAGAGCTTGGTTTGGGTTTGGAAGGTTCACTGGGCACAAAACTGTGGATGAGGAATGAGGATCTCGCTTCATGTTTTATCTTTTGGCAAAACAGGTAGTGGCTAAAGCATCTTGACAATACCTGTGATCCACACGATGTTAACTGCTGTCGAAATGGCTTTGTCACAGTTTGTTTCACAATTACCTGCTGTTTTGCCTTGTAGTTTTAGTTTGAACTCAAGGAATAGCAAGTCTGCAGCAAAAGCTAATTCGGTGCTATTTAGGGTCCGATAATAGTGGTTGAGGGCATTTCTCCCCTTATGGAGAAATTTCAGTGTCTGCCCTGAGCTCAAAGTATTGCAATAAAACTTTACTACAGCTAAGCTGTCGAACTGCTGTGTGACAGAGAAAGTCAGGATATTCAGCTCCAGTTCCAGCCGGAAATTCACAGAACTGAGGATGGTTGAGTCCATGAGAGAGAGTAGAGTTCACTGCTGACACAACTGATTCAATGACACACAACAGATTCCAGTGTTTTCCCCAAGCAGCTACTGGTGAATAGTAAAGTAGGCATCGATGGGCTTTTAACCTGTTAGCATTTCACAAGTTTTGCAGATTTTCTGTTTGATGTATTAATATATCTTTTCCACCATCAGTTGTACAAGCATATTCCATTTCAGGCTATGCTGGATTCATGCCTTCTTCACTTCTCTAAAAAAAATAAACTCATCTCCCCTGTTCCACGCACGCCATGCTAGAGGTTAATTCTACAGTCACTTAAAACTTGGTATTGATTCACCAAATAAACAACAATTGATGAGTGTCAGCAACATCTGTGAACTCATCAATAGCAAAGAAAAGCCACTCAAAGGCCTTTGCTATAAAAAAAATAATAAGGCAAATTGATTACCGATGCTGTTTCCAAGGTCCTCAGCTCTTCAAGTAATCGTTCTGGGCAAAAGGCTAATCGTATTAAACAAGTTTGTTTTGTTGCCTTTCTGTGAGAAAACACTGTGATGAGTACTTAGTCTGCTGATGTCAAGATGTGTGCTTTTAAGCGTGGATATATTGCCATTGCATAACAAACACAGTGACTCGCTATCGAATTGAATACAAAACAATCCATACTCAAAGTGCCTTAAAAATGCAGCATTTGAAGCCTGTTCTTCTTTTGTTCTGTTTTGTTTTGACTTTAAGGTTGTATGTAATAGTGAGATATAGATTAAACGCTATGTTGACGTGCGGGATTTGGAATGCTGCCACGTTTTAACTGTGTCGCCACAGTTTGTAGAGTCTCCAGCAGAAGCATGAAGCAATGAGTGTCACATGCAAATGTCCTCTTCCACCGTGGCTTAATTTCCCTGCCGTGCAGTGCAAAGCTGCCAGAGACAAAAAACGAATGAGCGAGGCTGCCTTCCCATAAACCTGTATTTATGAACACTAAAATTTGATTTCCTGTGTCATAAAGTATTTTTCTTCTGTTGATGTTTTCAACTATTTAAAAATGTAAAGGCCATCGGAAATGACAGGCCATAAGGAGAGGGAGGCAGGCCAGGGGTAGTCCATGTGCCGTGGTTGCCAGCTATGTGTTTCTGGCTTGGGAAGCAAAATCCAGGTGTTTGATGTTTATAAGACACAGAATTAAAACCTAGTGATATTGAAAGATGGACAGTGAAGCATAAAAAAAGTCAAATAATAACCAAAGAAAGCGTTATATTGAGCATTATATTGTGTTTGTTTGTTTGTTTTTTGAACTCTGCTATGTCTTGGTATTTTGCTGTTGTTGCTGATGTACCCTCACAGAGGTTTGCTAATCTCACAGAATTTATAATTTGCTATCTTTCTTCAATTTTGGAAAATTCTCAGGAACTAGATCTTTTTTTCTTGGCTCCTCTTTTGTGACTACAATAATATATATTGTTTTGTATCATTCTATAATGTATATATACTTGATAGTGTTAAGTAATGAGTCATCTGATGAATTTTTTATTTCTGATATCTAGTTTTTAAGTTCCAACATTTACATTTGGTCATTTTTATCATATTCATATATGTATTGAAATTCCCCATTGCTCCTGCCATTTTCATGTTTTATTTGATGTAATTATCATAGTTATTTTAAAGTCATGGTCAGATATTTCTGATATCTCAAAATATCTGAGCTTGCTTCCTTTCTTGAATATGACTTAAATTTCTTTGCTTCTTAATGTGACATAATTTTTGGTTTTATGCTGGACCTTAAGTGTACAAAAAAGAATAAAGACTGAAGTAGATGATACTTAAAACCAGAAAAGTGCACATTCATTCTACCATCACATTACTAGTGTGGGGGGATTGAGTTAACTTAATCTGGTATTTATCTGGACAGAGATTTGATGAAAAATTAGTTAAACTCAATTCATCACTTATTTATAATATTTTGGGGGTAGAATTAGAATTAACTTTTCAAGACTTAAGCTCTGAGCACTGGTGAAATTGAGGTGTCTATTTATGTTTAAAGCCAAGTCAGCAGCTTTTTAAATCTTGGGATCTCTCTCTCTCTCTCCCCCTCTTTCTCTTTCTCCCCTTCTCTCTCCGCTATCTACCACCCCACTCCCTCTCTGTACTTTAGGACACATCTTCCCGCTTTTTAGGTTTCCAGAGATTTCTTGATGTCTCTACCCTGCTGCCAGTTTCCAGCCTTTGCACCTGGTAAAAGCTTGGGGTGCCTGGGCAAGATTTCTCTCAGCTCTTCCACCTACCTCCCTTTGTCAGTGGCCTGCCACGCGCTCCGCTCCGTTGAGAACCTCAGAAGATTTCTCCTGGTTCTCTTTCCCGGTGCCGGACTTTGGGTCACTGTTCCGCACACTGAGCACAGGCCCAAGGTCTGCCGTGTCGGGTGGTGCAGACGTGCTTTGCTGCCGGGGCTTCTCCGGGTTCCAGTCGGTCTCCTCGGCCCACACACGGCAACAAAACGTTTGCTAAAAGTTCAGCTGGTTTCTCCTCACTTTCATCAATAATACGATTATCTTTCTCCCATTGTTTTGTCTGAGATAGTTGTGATTGTGGGTCTCTTCTCTTTTAGGAAAGGCTTGCTGCTTTCTTGAATTTAATTCATTTTCTTCCTTAAACCAGCTCTCTGAAGGATTTTTTACAAACAAAATTTTGTTTTTTATTCAGCTTGTTCTCATTGCTGGGTGGAGTAAACTCACTCTTGCAACTTTGAAAACCTGTCCAGAAGTAGAATAGACTTTGATTTTTGATTATTCAAATATTGCTTGAAAGAAGCAAATGTTTCAAAAATACTTTTACCATAGTTCCTGCCATCACTAAGTTGATCTTGCTGAATCACTTTGGATGTCAAATATATTTTGTACTTTATAGTCTGACAGTATATATTTATTGGTTACGTACATCCCAGACGTTGGTAATGTATGTGGATTATCTCTTTTTTTCATCACAAAAACCTCATGAGGAAACTACTATCATCCTCATTTTGTAGCTGAAAAAATTGAGGCACAGTGATGTTAAGACACGTAAGAAATTTCATTATGTCAATATGTGCAGTTACTATTTGAACCACAAGCAATATGATAAGAGATCCCCTTTTCATAAGCAATGCACCACATTAGTAAATATAGATTTGGAAATTAAAAGGTTAAATGTAATCCAAATGCTTCAGAAGCTTTTACTGTGGGATGAATTAATTGCTGGACTGACACTATTATTTCTACAACTTCTTACATCGTCTCACTTATTCTTCACACTCTAAATCCTGCTCCAAACTTATTTGTTTTTCTTTCATATGTGTACATGGTTATCACCAATAAAATGTCTAATCAAATAAGAAAATGTGAAAATTATTTTGCACTGTTCTCAAGACTGACTATATATAAATTATATATTAAATAATGTTAATACATGTTAAATGTATATTATATATTTCTTAACCTTTCACTAATTGTCAGAATGGAGATGAAACACTTTCGTCATAAAATGAATTAGTCATGAATGTTAATGAGATGTATTTTGTGAGGATTTATGTCTGCACTATTTAAGAGCATTGAGGTCAGTCCAGATTCTGGAATGAGACCTTTGTTTTTGCTTAACCTAAAAGTACTCATTAGAAAGCAATCATTTTTACCATTGTAAAATCATTCCCTGTCTACCAAGTTGTGAAGCAAATTATAATTTTATTCTAAATTCACTCCATCTAAGACATCTGTAGCTAGAATCACAAATAGAACCAGAGAGGTGGCATTGTAATATGTATATCCCTAGTGTAATTCTTACAAACTGACAAACTGGGAGGAGTCTAGAGCAGGGATCCTCAGACTTTTTAAACAGGGGGCGAGTTCACTGTCCTCAGACCGTTGGAGGGCCATTGGAGAGCGCGGCGCACATTCCACACATGCGCACTGTGGGTCCGGGACAAGTCGGCCGCTAAGCAGGACAGGCAGCGGCGCCAAAAACACCCGTCAGGCCGATAAATGTCCTCGGAGGGCTGCATGTGTCCCTCAAGCCTTAGTTTGAGGACCCCTGGTCTAGAGCATAAACATACATAGGAAAAATCAAAACTCGTTTTACCAACTGACTACTGGGTTAAATACTAAACCTCATAAAAATTAAAGCGTTTTGCCTACTTATACAAAGGATACTCCACACTGTATTAATTATAATGAAGACCTGGAGTTAAAAAAATCAAAGAATTCTGCTACTTTCTTGCTTTTATACTAGATTCTTACATTAAATTCACAGTTGACTCAGACAAATTGACATGCAGAGGTGGCTTAGATCATGAATTCCCTAACCATTGTTAAACATATAAATAGTAGCATCACTAATAGCATCAACATTTTATATTATGAATGTCTGAAAAATCACCTTAAATTTCACGTGCACCTTTTAAAAATTGTTATTTCTTTTCTATATTTTTATAGTATAAAACTGTTTTTTTTCCCATAGGTATACAGTTCTATGAAATTTAATATGTGTTTTTATTTTTATTTTGATTTATTCCACCCTCACCTCAATCAGGGTATAGACCATTTCAGTTACCCAAAATACTTCCTCTTGCTCGCTATATAAAGCCACATCCTTCTCCAACTCCACTCCCTGAAACCGGGGAGTCTTTCCCAATAATTTTTTCTTTTTGAGAATGTCACATAAATGGAATCATATACTACATAACTTCTTGTTACTATCTTCTTTCACTGAGCAAGTGTCTTAGAGATTTACCCCAGTTGGAAGTGTGTCAATATGTACTCCATGCTTTACTTCTCGGCAGTGTTTTATTGTGTGGATACTCGTGTATTTATCCATTTATTTGTTGAAGGATATCTGGGTTGTTTTCAGTTTGAGGGAATTATCAATAAAGTTGCCATAAACATTTGCCTATATGTTTTTAGTGAACATAAATTTTTATTCCTTCATGGTAAATACCCAGGATTGGGACTCCTGGGTCATATAACAAGTATATTTTTAGCTTTATGAGAAAATGCCAAACCCTTTTTTAGATTGGCAACAGTATTTTGTGTTCCCTCCAGCTCCAGTCTGTTCCGCATCTTCACCGGCATTTGGTAGTATCACTATTGCCTATTTTAACCATTCTAGTAAGTGTGCATTGGTAGCTTAGCATGGCTTTCATATTAATTTCCTTAACAGCTAATTATGTTGAAAATATTTTTACGTGCTTATGTGCCATCCCTATTGTGAAGTGTCTATTGAAGTTCTTTGCTCAATTTTTAAAGTTTTTCTTTTAATTCTTAATATATTCTAAATACAAACCTCTTACTTAATATGTAATTTGAAAACATTCCTCTGCCTATAGCTTGTCTTTTTATTCTCATTCTCTGTCTTTAGTAGTTTTGAGAAAATACAATTTATGTTTTTTCTATTATAGACATTTCCTTTTTTATGCCTTTTAAAAATTTCAATAGATTTAGGGAATACAAGTGGATTTTTGTTACATAAATGAATGTATAGTGGTGAAGTAAAGGCTTTTGTGTACCTGTTACCCAAATAGTTTACACTGTACCCAATAGGTAGCTTTTCGTCCCTCACTCCCCTCCCACCCTCTCCCTGCTGAATCTCCAAAGTCTATTATACTACTCTGTATGACAAGGTATACCCATTGCTTAGCTCCCACTTGTGAGTACGTGAGGTATTTTTTCATCCATTCCTGACATACTTCACTTAGGATAATGGTCTCTATTTTCATCTAAGTTGCTGTGAAAGACGTTATTTTATTCATTTTTATGCCTGAGTAGTAATCCATGGTCTCTAATATCACATTTTCTTTATCTACTCGTCAGTCAGTGGACACTGAGGCAAATCCCATAATTTTGCAATTGTGGATTGTGCTGCAATAAACATATGAGTGCAGGTGTTTTTTTGATAATAATGATTTCTCTTCCTTTGGGTAGTTACCCAGTAGTGAGATTGCTGGATCAAATGGTAGGTCTACTTTTAGTTTTTTGAGGAATTTCCATACTGTTTACCATGGAGGTTGTACTAACTTACGGTCCCACCAACAATGTGTAAGCATTCTCTTTTCACTTCATCTACACCAATATCTATTGTTTTTTGACTTTTTAATAATGGCCTTTCTGCCAGGGGTGAGGTGGTATCCCACTGTGGTTTTAATTTGCATTGCCCTGATGATTACTGATGTTGAGTAACTTTTTATATGGTTATTGGCAATTTGTACCTCTTCTTTTGAAAAAAATGTCT